AAAATTATTTTACAAAAATCGTAATTTTTTATTAACTTTGATGTCAACTTTCACCACGAAGACAAGTCCAGAGGTCAAATTTTTTTTTTCTAATTAAAGGATATTACATAAGCTTCAATTTAAAATATATATAAAAGTGTCAGACCTTCCGGAACATTTTCAAAAGTTAAGTTGAAAAAGTACTACTTTCTATATGCATTTTTTATATTTGAAGCACCCCCATATATAGGGAAAAAGTCTGATTTAAAAAAATAGTATATTCAATGAAAGAAGTATATAAATACTACTTCTCATAAAAAAATTGTAATGATCCATACATTTTTCAAAAAGTTATAGCATAATAAAGTTAAAAATGTAAAATACAAAATCGAGAATTTTCACACAAAAATAGCATTCGGTAGCCATTTTCACCGTAAAGATAAGATAAAGTCCGAAATTTTTTTTTTTTCATGATAAAGTATATTACATTAGCTTTAATTTAAAATATATATAAAAGTGTCAGACCTTCCAGAACACTTTCAAAAGTTAAGTTGAAAAAATTTGTCATTTTAAACCCCCCCTGTGGGCAAGTAAAGGGTCAGATATAAGAAAAAAATATACCAAATAATAGGTAAAGATATCAAGCATCTATAAAAAAAAAAATTATATTGATATGTTCATTTTCTTCGCATCGAAGCTAAAAATTGAAAAAATTTCGAAAATTAGCGATTTATAAATTTGTAATTTTTTTGGAGGTTTCCCCCATTTACGGGGAACGAGGGCAATTTTTAAGAGTAATGTCTTCGACTAGATACGATTTGTGATCTTTTGATGTATTGTTGAAAGAAATCGGTTCGGTGAGAGCTTAGAAAAAGTGGTAACAGACACAAAAAAATAACACATAATAAAATTTAACCTTCTCAGCTTCTCATCGAAGCTAAAATGTCTAATAGTTGAATAAAAATAATATAATTTACTGGCTATTATAAAAAATTATTTAGTACACTTCACTTTGATAAATTTGGTAGCTATTCAGAAAATATGTTTAAATCTATTAAGCTATAGATAATAAAAGGAAAGAAAATTTTCTAATTTAAATCTGTGTGACTTGTCTAATGTAGTTTAAGAAGGGCCCGTACGACCTTTTACTCTACACTTACTATTAATGTTTCAATTGAAATACTATAATTTTACTTGTTTAAGCACTCTAAAAATTTACAAAAAGGCTACCAAAAAGTCACAAATAATAAACTATAGTTAAGTACTTACTAATTGCCCAATTGCCAATTTATTAAAAACTTAATAAAAACAATTGGGAACACACACACATGGTCTAATAATACCAATTTATTATACAAAAATTCAACTGTATTTAATACGATATGAGGTATCACAAGTTGACAAAAGCGATTAATGCTAATAGGTAGCAATTAAATATTACAGCAAAGAAACAAGTTCTTGATCTAATTAGTAGCTGTACAATATATTATCCCAGCAATTAGTGAGAAATACAAAAATGAGAAACTATTTGAGTTTTGTAACCTTGAAATTTAACGCCTTAACGTTTTTACAACAAAAAATATTATATAAGTATATGAATTGCGCGGTTAAATGCATATGTGGTGTGTGACAGTTAATCGGAGTGCAGTACAGATATCTATACTACTTGTGTNCAGTGCAGTACAGATATCTACACTACTTGTGTACTGGGAACCAAGTACGTCTTACTGTTAACAACTGTAATGTTGTTACCAGAATATTATAAAATATATAATAAAATATTTTCAAAAGTTTCTTAAAATTCTTATACGGGATAGTTATAATTTATTATTATTACTTACTTTTAATCATTTCATCCTCATTAGCTTCAAAATCAAAAGGTTTATCATCATCAACAAATTTATATATTTCATAAGGTACTTTTTTTCCTACATCATTAGAAACTGGACGAGATGAGAATAATAATCCAAAAACTGAATTGAATGGACCGTTATCACATTGACCTGTCCTGGCAATATAATTTGCATATGACTGTGCAAAAACATCCAACTAAAGATCATATTATTGTATTAATTACGTTAATATACTAGTAGTATAAAAGATAGTTTTTAAATATAATCTTGAGCGATTTTAATTAAATGTTCAAAAATATATGTAGTATAATAAGATATATGACCATTAGTTATGAAGCTATTTACATTTTTATAACTAACGCGAGAGTTACAACAGGTGAATCGCAGGTTTAAGTTGTCATTTGAATTATTAAAATTAATAAACCCAACCCAACCTTATTATGTATTGTATGTCATTATGTATGTCATTTCAAAATTTACTGGAACGGAGGAAATTTTTTTAACAGCCCACCATTTTACAAAGCCGCTTGTTTCATTCGATTCATTTATTAATACCTTAACTCTATTACACTTAATATAAAAAAATTATCATGACAGATATTTCGAAAATCATTTAGACGATAATAAATTAATAATTTTCAATGGAATAAAATGTTTATAAAAATAATTAAAATAGATATTCGATAGTTTAAAATATTCAAAAATTCCCATTACTAGTAAAAACTTATGATGAATCTGATTACGGTGACAAAGAGAAAGATTTTTAAAAGGAAGCTTATTGTATATTTTGAATAACTAAATAGGCAATATTAAGTATCATAGTCATTGAATACAAATTAATTTTCACTACATTTCTTAGATAAATTGTATTTTATTGAAGAACGGTTGACTTAAGGTATGGTTCGATCAGCAAGAGTGCAATTGATCGACCTCAGTTTTCAAATGTTTGTATTGCTACCCTCAAATGTCGTCTAAATGTTCTATGGACACTAAATTAATATAAGATACTATGATAAGTTTCCAAAAGCTAATAACTTTTTACTTATTACTATTTATTTAAAAATTATTTACTTCATTATTTTGTTTAAGAGGTTCTACACCATGCCAATTTCTAATACTATTTATTGAAGATAAATATTGTCTTTTTATTTTAGAATGCATGTCCATATCATGTCCCATTCCTTCATAGTAACCCATAAACTGTGAGTGATCATGTTTTAAATGTTTATCAAATTCGGACCATGCTTTATCTAAGCTGTACAAAAAATGTTTTTTTAAGACTTTACAACAATTTTTAATTTCGATACGAGAATAAGTATGTATTAATTTTACTATGATTTGTTTATTTATTTTTTTTATAAATCTGACACTTTACCTACCCACAGAGAGGGATTAATAATGACAACTTTTTTACAAAAAATAAACTTTTTCAACTTAACTTTAAAAGTGTTCCGGAAAGTCTGACACTTTTATATATATCTTAAATTAGAGCTAATGTAATATGCTTTATCGTGGAAAAAACAAATTTCGGACTTTATTTTGTCTTCACGGTTAAAATGGCTACCGAATGATATTTTTATGTTAAAATTCTCGATTTTATATTTTTAACTTTATTATGCTATAACTTTTTGAAAAATGTATGGATCAATACAATTTTTTCATGAGAAGTACTATTTATGTACATCTTTCATTCGACATACTTTATCTTAACCAGGATATAAATAAGGAAATAGGAGATCATATAGCTTTTAGAATAATCCACCAATTTTAGCTTCGATGCGAAGCTGAGAAGGTATTGGTTTTACTAAGATGTGTTTTTTTTTTTTTAGTGTCTGTTACCACTTTTTCTCAGCTCTCACCGAACCGATTTCTTTCAATGATACGTCAAAAGATCACAAATCGTATCTAGTCGAAGACATTACCCTTAAAAATTGCCCTCGTTCCCCGTAAATGGGGGAAACCTCCAAAAAAATTACAAATTTAAAAATGGCTAATTTTCGATATTTTTTCAATTTTTTTTACTTAAAAGTGCCATAACTT